CAGCTCTGACCCTGGGTTAATGAGATGCTATAGATGGTCACAGCAAGGTGTTTTAGTAGGAATGGCTGAATGCAGCAATATAGAGAGGTGGGCAACTATCTCTGCCACAATGGAAGTGTACTGCTCTCTGGGGAGTGTGCAACCAGGGCAGCGGCAGCAGAGGGATGCCTAGAAGACAGGGCTCCAGGAAGCCAAGTGGTGGCCCAGAAATGGCACATGAGGGGGTTGCTGCCCCTCTGTACTCAGAGCCTGCCTCCTGCCCCCACAGAGCTATCAGAATTACAAGATGGTTCAACTAACTGCCCTTGGACCCCAAGTAGATGGTCAGCACTCACAAGGATGGAACCACTCCTGCCTTCCTCCAAGTAGTCTCAAACCAAGAGGAGGTCTCCAACCACAGTGACCAATGAGGTCCACTGCCCACACCCAGTGACCAAACTATGCCACCTCCCAGTGACCAGACAGGGATCTGGACTGAGGGATCTGGGAAGGAGGGAGACTTATCTGTTGAACACCTACTTGTACCAGGAGGGAGACTTATCTGTTGAACACCTATTTGTACCAGAAGCTTTGGTGAGGTACGGTGGCCCTTGTCAAGGAATCCTTTCTGAACAGGTATGGGGGTAGTGCTTGTCCTCTTGGGACCCTTGTATAGAGCCAACTTCATCATCCAGCACTTGATACCCAGCAGCCACCAGTAGGTAGGCAGGAAATAAGGGCTGAGGGATGACTCTGAACAAAGAATTTGAAAACAATTTGTAATTTCCTATGCTGCCAGCTATCCAGACACAGGAAAGCCATCCTCGGACTCTGGCAGCAGGGGGGCAGTGAGAAAAAAAATGGGGAACTGATGATCTGTCACAGCTCCCATATACAATGGACGTGGGAACACAAGCAATTAAAGGCATCTGGCAGAATCCAAGCTGAGCTAGAAAACATACCACCTACCTCCCTGCATTCTGTCTGCTGCTTAAACACACACCCAGTCTCTAGCTTTCCCACCTCCCCCAGCAATCCTCCCCATGGCTCTTGGGCAAGGGCCTATCCCCTCACCCAGGTGCTCCTTATTAGAACATGTGAACCAGGCTGCATGACCATTCCCCACAGGCACTGAACCCCTTCACCTAGAGAGACTGACACATGCTACATCCTCTCCACTTCATTTGATCTTCAACACTCAGAGCAGAATCACTTTAAGAAATGGGGAAGAGCTAAGATGGGAATGTAAATGTCAACTCTGGCTCTGGGCATTCATCCTACTGCAGAGCTATCAGAATTACAAGATGGCTCAACTAACTCCCCTTGGACTCCAAGTAGATCGTCAGCCCAGAAACCCACCTGTGAGAAGCCACCTCCCACCAACACTTATGCCCCAGGTAGTGGCAGATCGGTCCTACAGGTAGGCTTCCTCTCCCACTAGGATTCTGTCCTTTGCCCAGCAGCACTCACTCTCCTGAACGAGGCTCTGTGAAACCCTTTACCCAGTCCCATCTGTTTCTGGTGTAGTGACCCGGGCTCGCCCACAGCTCAGAGACTGCTCAGAGGAGGGTGACAATGAAAGGTTGCTAAACATAGGGAGGCAGCAAAGCTGCTGATGGCATCTGCCATCAGTCCTCCAAGAGCCTCTTCATCTGTCCTTGCTCTAGGAGTAGAACTCTTGACAAAAGCAATGACATTAGGCCAGTGGCGTCACATTTCATGTCAAGTGAATCACAGAATCTAGAAGCAGAATGGTAAGAGTACTCCAGTATGGGTGTACAGATGATGACTCGCTTTCTGTGTCACTCCTTTAAAAACAGCTGTGCTCTAGTCCTCCTGGGGCCTTCCATGACAGGAAGCTTGCTCTCTCAAGGTGGCTCCTTGTGTCTTCAGACTGATCACACAGGCCTTCCTCACATCTGGTCAGTGCATCTCCCCATCACTTCCATTGCAACTTTAGCTTGGCCCTCTCCACTCCAGCACCTCCAGTCACCAAGTAAGTATTCAAATTTCCCCTCAAAATCATCTGTCACAGTCTTCTCCTTCCCATCACTCCCTCCTCTTCCAAGATTCCTTTGTTTACTTCTAAGTAGGTCTGGCCAGCAACCCTCTAAGCACATCGCCAGCAGGCTCCCCACTTCTTCCTAGAATCCAGCCTCCAGAAGAGAGCACTCCTAGCCACCATGGGCAGCCGGGTTTGCCAGTAACTTTTGGGTCCCTTCTGAGGTCATCACCAACAATCACTGGTGCTTCCCTTAGAAGAAGTCAAGAGAAAGTATTGAGAGCCTATGTACTAATACACACACTGTCTTCAAGGGCCTCATTAGCCAAGGAAGAGAGAGATGTCCATAGACAACTCTCAGCCTGAGAAAGTGCAGAATCAGACTCCAGTAACATGCAGAGGCATGTGTCAGGGACAGAAGACTGCAGGGATGTGAAAGCCAAGACCTCTGAAACCAAGATGGCCTGGATTGGAATCCCAGGCCTGACACCTTCTAACCGTGAGAGCATAGACAAGTTACTTAACCTCACTAGCCTCAATTTCCTCATCTGTAAAATGGGAGTGATTAAACTGACTGTTGTAGAGATTAGAGATGGTGGATATAGAACCCTCAGTCCGGTGCCAGGTACTCAGTAGGCACTGCACAATGGCAGTGGTCGGCATTACTTGGAAAGGAAATAATGTTTGAATTGGACCTTTTCTAAAGCTGACATTAGGAGCAGAGGGGAAAGCCTGAGCAAAAGCTCAGTGTGGGAGTTGAGCAAATGTCTTGGGTCTATGGTGTATAAGGGAATGGGATATGGTGTATAAGTGTTGGGGCTAGAGTACCTAGACTGTCAGGATTGTGGGAGATAGGGTACTGAAGAGGACCAACTTGGTGTGCTTCTCTCTGCTACTAGACCCCTATGATTCCTGCAGAGCAGGAAGTAGAATCTCAGGACCCAGTCTAATGGCTACAGTAGGAGCAGGAAGCCTGAGTCCATTCTGTACCGCATTCATTTGTCATTCTCCACCCTCAGATAATCAATAGCCTGTTAGCAAGACTCCAATTAGATAAATTGCCTGTTCAACAATTGCCAGAATCAGGAACTCTTGGGAAAACCTACAGACTTTTCTAAATGGTCTTCCTTTGTCAGCATCTCTGGGGAACTTCCCTCCCTCCCATAGCTAAACTTGCTACTCCCTCTGCCATCTGGACCCACACAGAGCTCCAGGGGGTAGAACTCCCAGAGCACAGCAAGCTAGCAGGGCCTAGGCACAACACTGCCTCTGTGAGGTGGATTCTGGGTCTTCCAACCCATGATGAAACCCGGCCCAGAGAGTGAATAGGACAATGTCCTCTGTGACCACTATATTGCAGCGTGGGCATCCCAGCCAGTCAATACTTGTTTTGTTGGCTGCCATTTGGAGCAAAGAAGAAAACATGAGAAACTTTAGGGGAGAGCTGGAGAATGTTCCAGTTTCTCCTTTGCTTGTAGCCAGCACTGAGGTGGCTGGAAGAGGAAGGCCATCCTCCCTTCCTCACACCACCCTGAGATACATGACTTGAATCCCCCAGAGAATGCCAGCCCCCATCCACACAGGATGGAAGTCCTTGACTGACCACATGACCATGTCTGGAAGCTGTCAGGGAGGATGATGGAGCACAGGACCTCAAGTGCTGAAGGCAAAGTGGCATGAGGCTTTTAGGTGACTCCTGCAGGTAACGCTGCTCTGGGTCAATTAGCTGGGGCCAGAGAAGGCCCAATCTGAAATCTCTGGGAGGGAAGCTGGGCTGAAGGAATCCAGTCCCAGAGCTCCCTCCCCTCCATGACATTATTCAAGAGACACAGACAGCTCCTCAGCAAGCCCAGGCCTGAGGGACACACTGGGGGGAACACTCTGTAAGAGGCACTTGGGGATGGGCCCTCATTGCCTTGGCAGAATCCTGTCCTCCTACAAAGCTCATCTTACCTCCTACGTAAAGTCATAAAACAATTTTTTCTTCACAGCCTCCCTGAACACACCATTATGCCTGCAGCCCTGCTTCCTGAGGTCAGCCTCATTTCCTACCAGTCAGCGTCCTGCCTAAGAACCAACCAGCCCTTACTTCTTCTGCACCTTCCTGCAGTTCTAAGCAGTGCTGAAACCCAATGGATTTTTTTCAGTTATCAGTGGAGCCAAAGACACAAACTGATGGCCAGCCGTTTGAATCTGGCCTGCAGATTACCATTTGTTGGCACACAGGATACTGCTTAAATATATGAATCAATTCCAAAATTTTAAGATCAGATTTTTCTGATTTTCTTTCAAAAGTTGGAATATCTGGAAGTATGGGGTCCTCACTGCTGTGGGGCAAAGCTGGGCAGAGATGAGAAGCAGCTGCTCCTTTAGACAGGGCACGGTCACTCTAGCTGGCCCCAATCCCTATGGAGCAGATACTGTGGAGGCCCTGCCCCATGTCCTATCAGCCCACCTAAGCGCACCTATAGCTGCGGTGCTCCTGTGTGTGCTAACAGCTTCCCACTGCCAGTACCTGCAGCTCTCTGCTTCTTTGCCTGAGGACTTTCTCTGACACTAGTTGGCATTCAGGACAGCCCAGAAGTACTAGGGATTTAAAGCCCCCAAAGATATTCTTGACTCATACAGGAGTCAATGAATTAAAACCCATTCACTTCCCTGCCCCTCAAGGGTACAATTCTGAGACACATTCCGGATGATTATTCACCGTCCCCAGTAGGACTGAGTTCCAGTGGACCACAGTGGCAGTCCTCCCCCTAATGTACCCTTTATCGGCTTTTCCCCTTTCTGCCTCTTTCCCCCCACCCTTCACTTATGCTTACTGGAATCACATCCCAATTCAATGATCTGCTCCCAAGTCTTTGTCTCAGGGTTCATTTTGGGGGGAACCCAAACTCACACACCCTACTAGTCATATTTCATCATTTTTCCATCAGAGTACATTCTTCTGATGGAAAGCTGAAGGACAGAACTCCCCGCCCATGGGCTTCCCAACATCGGAGGGACAGGGCAGACTCACCTCCCCCGAGTAACTGTACTTGCCCCTGAGGATCTGCCGGTACAGCCGGGTGCGGTTATCATCTTCAAAGGGCATGGTGCCACTGAGCAGGATGTAGGCAATGACACCCAGTGCCCACATGTCCACTGAGTTGGTGTAGGGCTTTCGAACCAGGACCTCAGGGGCAATGTACTCAGGTGTGCCACAGGTAGTCTTCATCAGGCAGTCGTCACCTTTCTTGCGAGCACTGGCCAGGCCAAAGTCGGTGATGATGATCTTGGAATCAGTGCCTGGGTGGTAGTAGAGCAGATTCTCAGGCTTGAGGTCTCGGTGTGTGATGCCCAGTGCGTGCAGATACCGGACGCCATCCAGCACCATTTGCAGCACCCGTGTGGCGTCACGCTCAGTGAAAGAACCCTTGGCAATGATGCGGTCAAAGAGCTCTCCACCAGTAGCCAGCTCCATCACCATGTACACACGCTCCTGAGTCTCAAACACCTCCACCAGCTGGATGATGTTGGCGTGGCGCACCCGGCGCAGCACACGCAGCTCCGACTCACACACCTCCCGCCCCTCCCGGTATTTGGTCTCAATCATCTTGATGGCATATGGTTGCCGGGTTGCCCGGTGTTCCACGCGTACCACTCGGCTGAAGCTGCCTCGGCCAATCAGGGCTTTGATGTCATACTTGGCTGTCACACGCGGGTCGAACTTGGCCCTGTACTTAGCCACCCTGGCCTTGCGTGGTGGTTCTGAAGGAGGCTCTGTGTAGCCGGTAGTGGGGGCGCCCGGGCAGGGGTTGGCACACTGACTGGCTGCTGGGATCCCAGCTTTGAGAGGGCCAACACTGTCCACCTCTGTGATGAAGTGCTTATACACATCGCTCTTAGTGCCACTGAAGGGCTCCACCTTCTTGACCAGATCCAGCTGGACATCCTTGGGCGGCTCGGGAAGGACCTTGCTTGTCCCACAGCCCATCACGGACACGGGGGCATCCTCTCCAGCGAGGCTGGCAGGACCTGCTCTGCAAGCAGTGCCCCGTCTACACCTATGCAGACAGAAGAGAGGACAACTCAGTATAGCTGGGACACCTCTGAAGGGTTACCAGCCATCCACCTCCTGCCTCCTCCTTGTCCCTCGATAACCCTAGCCTGAAGACCTGGCTCTAATATGGTTTCCTGGAAGGGAGGATGGCTTTGGCCCCTAAGTGCTCAGAGCCCAGGCTCAATGGAGGGTCTATATCAGTGGTTCTCAACCTTCCTAATGCCGCGACCCTTGATACAGCTCCTCATGTTGTGGTGATCCCCAACCATAAAATTATTTTCGTTGCTACTTCATTACTGTAATGTTGCTACTGTTATGAATCGTAATGTAAATATCTGATATGCAGGATGTATTTTCATTGTTACAAATTGAACATAATTAAAGCATACTAATTAATCACAAAAACAATATGTAATTATATATGTGTTTTCCGATGGTCTTAAGCGACCCCTGTGAAAGGGTCGTTCGACCCCCAAAGGGGTCGCGACCCCACAGGTTGAGAACCGCTGGTCTATATGAAATACTGGATCTGAGCATCATAATCTTGATTTACATCTCCCTGGATCTGATTCTCACACTGCTCTTCAAGCCTGAGAGAGGGTAGGAACATGCATAGGCTCAGTTGTTACTGCCCCCACCTTCCTCCCTACTCTGCCTGGGTTCCTTATCCTAGTTGAAGTTCTATGTTTTCTTTTTTTATATATATAAGAGAACATTTATTCGTAACATTTATTCACAGAGGTAGAAAAAGTTAATTCCTAGAAGAAATGGGCTTAGGAAATAATTGATAGAGGTAAAGGAAGGGCCTTTGGGCCTTGGGAGTGAGGCAGCTAATGGTAACATGCCTAGGGAGATGGGGAGGGAGGAGTGAGGGAAAGGCGAGCAGTCTTATGTTTTCTTAATGTTAAAATCATTCCTCTTATTATTCGGACTCATCTTTCCTGAAATGGGGGTGTAGAGTGTTAGAGGCCGACTCTCTAACACCATCACCTACCAGGGCTCAGAAAGCTGCTTCTCCAAGGCCTCCCTCATGTATATCCTTCCGGGCCCTCTATGCCTCCTGCAGACATGATCCCCTTGCAACCACCACCCATGGCCCTGCGTCTTTGCCCTACTAACCTCACTCTTTCCTGGACAGCTCCCACTACTTTGCTAATGCACCATCTTCACCCTGACATTGTAACACCCTGTTTCAGGGTCACTCACTTCCCCAGTCACCACATTGATAGCGAAAACGCCACATTAAGTTCTAGAGCTGGCTGGAATCAATCCCAGTGACCTTGGGACAATAAGCCTTAGCACACTGCCATCAGGTAGCCACCAAATAGGGCATCATTCAAGAGGCAAAGGGAGCCTTGAGCTCAGAAAGGGCACTAGCAGCTTCATCTAGATGTGACTCCGGCTGTGGATGCGGGTGCTCTGCTTCCTTGGGATGAGAGGACAGGAGCCTTCGCCATTTGTTTCCCAGACAGAGATGTTCTGATCTCTTAGTACCGTGTGGCCTATGGGACCCTGGGCAAGGTGAAGTGCAGAAGGACTACTTTCCAGAGGTCACTCTGCTCAGGCTGCCCTTCCCTAAGTCTATCTGAAGGCCCCATGGGTGAAAGAAGAGAGCTGAGAATTTCCTATTAATTATGACATGCAGAATTGAAGATAAAATGATCAGTCCAGGTCAAACATGTATTGAACATCTACTAGGATACAAGAATGAATAAGACATCCAATATAGGTTATATTTAAACATACACACAAACACACAAGCAGAACATGGTCAATAAGCTGATAGTCTAAATCAGTGATGGCGAACCTATGACACGCGTGTCAGAGGTGACACGCAAACTCATTTTTTTGGTTGATTTTTCTTTGTTAAATGGCATTTAAATATATAAAATAAATATCAAAAATGTAAATCTTTGTTTTACTATGGTTGGAAATATCAAAAAATTTCTATATGTGACACGGCACCAGAATTAAGTTAGGGTTTTTCAAAATGCTGACACGCCGAACTCAAAAGATTCGCCATCACTGGTCTAAACGAAGAGAAAAGCATAAAAACATAATTTCAATATAGCACAGTGTTAGGCTTGAGAAACAATAGTAGATATATGTAGACTGGTGCAGGGGTTAGGGAAAGCTTCCTGAAGGAGGCGACCCCCACACTGAATTTTTTTAAAAAATATTTTATTGATTTTTTACAGAGAGGAAGGGAGAGAGATAGAGAGTTAGAAACATCGATGAGAGAGAAACATCAATCAGCTGCCTCCTGCACATCTCCTACTGGGGATGTGCCCGCAACCAAGGTACATGCCCTTGACCGGAATCGAACCCAGGACCTTTCAGTCTGCAGGCCAACGCTCTATCCACTGAGCCAAACCGGTTTCGGCCCCACACTGAATTTGATGTAAGAATGAAACAGGTGAGGAAAGAGGGGAATGGAGTTTTAGGCAGAGAGAATAACATAGTCATAGACCCAGAGTAGCACCCTGTGCTGGAAACAGGAAATTTGGTAGTGTGAAAGCAGGCCTGTGGGGGGCTAGAGTTTTGGAAGGTAGGCAGGAACCAGGTTGTAGAGAGCAGCAGAAGTTATGGTGAGGAGCCAGGACCTTCCTGGGAGGTGAGGGGAAGCTACCAAAGGGTTTACGAAGAATGAGAGGCGCTCAACCTGTGTTTAGAAAGAAGCATGAGGCTGAACTGGAGGAGGATCAAAGTGTACTAAAAGGGCCAGAGAGGGGATGGTGGCCCAGACAGTGGGATGGAATGGAAAGATATCAGCAGAAGAACTGATAGGGACTGGAGGCTGGACGTAAGAGGTGAAAGGGTGGAGTGAGGGCAGCACTCCAGTCCCTTACTCAGGCTCCTGGGCAAAAGGGTCAAGAGTGCAGCAAGAGGGACAGGTTTAGTAAGCAGTGGGAAGAGTTCAGTTTTTGATGTGTGCAGTGCATGTGGAACATCCATGTGACATTCACTGCAGACCAGGCACCACATATTACATTTTTAAAGTTAATAAAAATATATATTGTAGAAATGTATAGACTAGTAAATGCATAAGTTTAAAAAGCTGAGGGAACATTCACCAAATTACTAGTGTTTATGTCTAAAGACACAGCCTGGCCTGTGTGGCTCAGTGGTCGAGTGTCAACCTATGAACCAGGAGTCCACTGTTCAATTCACGATCGGGGCACATGCCCGGGATGCGGGCTAGATCCCAAAGAGGCAGCCGATCACTGATTTTCTCTCATCATCGATGTTTCTATCTCTCACTCCCTCCTCCCATCCTCTCTCTGAAATAAATAAAAATATTTGTTAAATAAAGACACTGCATTATTCACTCCTGTAATGTTTTAACTTTTAGTATTATTTCATAATGAAAATTTTATGACTTCTTTTTAGAATATAGTAACTTGGGACCTCACTTCTTAAGGGCATAGTAATAATTGGTGGGCCAACTCCTGCCTTATGACTGAGAGAGGGAAAGAAGTTCAAATGTTGTTGTATCCTCCTTATTTTATTAGGACTCCAACTCCATCTAAGACATCCCACCTACTGCCCATCCCGTTGTCAGAAATACAGTCTCTGGCAATGTACCTGGGGTTCTCCTTCTAACATCCCAAAGTTCAATCCCCAAATATTTACTAAGCTCCTGCTGTGAGCCAGGAACTTTGCCAGGGACTGTGACAGACTAAAAGAAGTAGCCAGCCAGGCCGGAGTGACGCAGTGATTGAGTGTGGACCCATGAACCAGGAGGTCACGTTCAATTCCTGGTTGGGGCACATGCCTGGATTGCAGGCTTGATTCCCAGTAGGAGTTTGCAGGGGGCAACCGATCAGTGCTTCTCTCTCATCATTGATGTTTCTATCTCTTTCTCCCTGTCCCTTCCTCTCTTTGAAATTAATTTTAAAATAAACTAATTAATTTAATTACATTAAAAAGAAGGGAACCATAGTCTGTGCTCTCAAAGAACTTACAGTCCAGATGGTTCCACACCAAAAGTTCTTTAGTCCATTACCCTTATAATGCCCAGTGAGGCCACTTAAAGGCTGGCAGCCTGGAAGGGGTCCCTCTGAGGTCATTTCCTCCCAGCAAAAGAAGACATGACATTTTTCTAGTTTAAACACCACATTTTTCTACTTTAGCATCACATTAGACACCATGGCAACAGAGGGCTATACCAAGAATTAGCTCAGTGATGACCTAGCCAACACAAATCAGCTTAATACTCACTGAGTATGATTCTTGGAAGGAAAAGAAGTTCAAATCAGTAAGTCTCTCTCCAGCTCTCAACAAACAGAATTGCTTCCCTTCTTCCACGGCTGTATTTCTCAAATTTTTCTGTGTACCCTGGGTTCAATGGAGACAGATGTTCCCAGCTATCTCCAAAATTAAGAGTCATTGTTTTTGGAACACCTATCGCCCATTCACGTCATACAGCCGGGAAGTTCTGAAGAGGATTGAAGTTGCCCACATAACATGTTCACATTTATAAAGTAAAATAGAAAGCCAAACGAAAGTCTCATCCATAATTGTGACTGACAAAGAACCCCAGTATCTAGCTCAGATTCCACAGACACTAAGATCTGCAGGGGTCTTCCATTCCAGGTGAAGGGCAACTCTAGTTCAGCCTCAGAGGCAAATAAATTTCCTGAAAGCTGCATTTTCTCTAGCCCATTAATACAACTTAACAAGTGCAAGAACTGCAATTAGACCTGGACAATGTGCTTATTTAGCAAACCCACCCTTTAGTGAGTCAGCATTCCGAATCTCTCCTGGGGGAATAGCCAACTACAACTGCCGTTAGTAGAAGCGGTTTTCTCAGAGCTTTCCCCAATGACCAGAGTTGAGGAAGTCACATAACACAAGGCAACTTCCTACAGGAGGATCAGTCTGAAGAGCAAACAGGCTTACTAAGATGAGATCTTAGTAACAAGGGACATATTCTGGGAAGAACAGCCATTAGTAAATACAGTGGCTTCCATTTGCTGAGTTTCTACTGTGAGAAGTATCTTACATGCACTCTCACTCCTCTCTGCAACTACATAAAGTAGCGATGATTATTCCTATCTTGGAATGAGCAAACTAGGACTCAGCGAGTCTCAAGATTTCATAAAAGCCAAAAACTGACGCTCAGTGTTTCTGACTCCAAAGCTCCTATGTCTAATCATCAAATCATACTGCTTCCCCAAGGTATGGGCAGGGCAATGAGACTGCAATGGGAGGCCACAAGGCACAGCTAGTCTTTCCCACAAGACAAAGAAGACACAAGAGCTTCCTGGAGGCAAAGACAAAGATCTCCAACCAGGAAGCACGGTAAAGTCACTTGGGGAATTTTTTGGTATCTGGATAGATACCAGATCTTCTGAATCAGTCTCAGAGAGTGAGACTCTTGAATCTGTATTCTGAAAAACGACTTTAGACCATCAAAGTTGAGAAGGCTGCACCACATACCACACACATGTGCATGCATATGCATGCATGCGCATGCATGCACAAACACAAAACACAGGTGAGCGGTGTTCATCTCCGATGCCAGGCCCTGGTAGGTGCTCAATGGTACAGCTGAATGAGTATCCATTCTTAAACCAACAACCTACTCCAGGGGACTTAGTTCCTACTGTTAATGTCAGGCAGAACCAGACACTCGGGTGCAGATACACAATCCCCAAACTCACTATCACGTGACACAACATGATCTATTCAACAGCAGTCCAGTGAATAAAAGTACAGAGGAGTCAATGGTTACTTGTGAAGCAAGGGAGGCTTTTCCACGGAAATGAAATCTGAGATGAATTTTAAAGGACAGATGTACATTTTCCATACCGGTGGGAGAAAGAGAAGGGTATTACAAAAGAGAAAATTGGCTATCTAAAGCACAAGGGTATTAAACCACAGAGCTAACAGAAGGCACACAACATATGTAAACATATGTAAACCGAAGGCAGAAATGCACAGGTGCTCACTTCAGGGTTAGGCCTCTCCGATCATGAAGAGCCCTGAATGCCTGCCTTCCTAAGAGGCTTAGCCTTTATCCTGTAGGCATCAAGGAGCCAGTTTTCGGCAGTAAAGGGCTTATTCAGGTGAGAAGGAATCACTTCAGCAGCTTCATTCAGTGGGAGTGAGCATGGACAGTGGGGCGAAGGTATGACTGGCTTGTGGGGCAGGCGACCCGGCTGGACTCAGGCCTGCTTTTCCCCAGAGTGAATAAGGAAGCGACCAGCTGCCCGCCAGCCCCTGGCGTTCAGTCGCGAAGGAAGGGTGTGGAGTAAATGCTGGACACGAGAAGGGAGTGAGGACAACCGGGTTAGTTCACCGTGACCGACGCCGGCTGGCTGGCTGCACAGCAGGCAGGGCAGCTGGCCACGTCCACCAGGCCCACGAGGCCCCAGAGAAAGGCTACCCAGCGCAACCGCATGTTTCAAGGCCACTCTCGTCTCGGACACCGGGGACCCCAGCAGCCATCGCCTGGCCTGCTCCCCAGCCCCCGTAGGCCCCGGCACACCTGGCACGGGCCGAGGGCTCCAGTCTGGGCAAAGACAGGCCCGGTGCGCCTGGAGGCGGCCGTGGCCGCAGCTCGTCAGGACCTCCCGCCCGTTGGGCCTTAGCCCTGGGCCGGGCCGCCTCACCTCGCGGGGGCGGCGGGCTCTTCGGTGTCTTGGCGGCTGTGCTAACCCTCTCGGGGCCGCGGCCACGGCCGCCGCCGCCGCCATCCTCAGGCGTTAGCGTCGTGGCGTCATCACAGAGCGCGCTTGACGCCAAAACAAACCCGGGCCGCCTAGGGGCGGGGCGGGGCGGGGCGGGGCGGGGCCGGGGCGGGGGCGGGGCCTCGGGAGGGCCGGCTACGCGGTTGGGGGCGCTCCGAGCGTGGCCTGCCAATCAACGCCTTCAGGGCCAGGACGGTCTCTCTAGGGGGGCGGGGGATGTCTAACTTGTTCAAAGACGTTCGTAGGCTGCGAGAGGAACCTGTTATAGAAAAAGGAGGTACACCTGGAACTAATATACATTAATATTTAATGTCAACTGTAACTGAACAATTACAGAGATTAATTTTAAAAACAGGAAAAGGACCCTAGCCACTCACTGGATAGAGCGTCGGCCTGGGGACTAAAGGGTCCCAGGTTCGATTCCTGTCAAGGGCAGTAGGGGGTGTGCAGGAGGCAGCTGATCGATGCTTCTCTCTCATCAATGTTTCTAACTCTCTATCCCTCTCCCTTCCTCTCTGTAAAAAATCAATAAAATATATTTAAAAATAAATAAATAAATAAAAACAGGAAAAGGAGGAACTGCGTAGGGACAACGTTTCAAGTTTCTGGTTAGAGAGGAGGGTGCTCTGTCATACAAGGTTGGGGCATAATGCGTTTCAACAGATTTCTGGAAGTGCCGCTGGAACTCTGCAAAGGATCAATTTAAATTATATTAAACCTATTTTTTTTTTTTGAAAACTGCAGTTAAAATAAATCAGGCACTCAGATGTGTTAAATTTGGCCTCAATCTCAGAGGAGTTGACAATGGTTAACTTGAGGATTGGTCTTTAGTCTTGGGCCAATTTAGGATAACATATTTTTTGTTTTCATTTTTGTTGTTGTTATTGAATTTAAGTGAATCCTAAGACTGCAAAGCAAGTAGATTTTTTAAAAAAATCTTGTTACTATTCACAATGACTTCTCTATAGGATCAGAATTGTTTAATTGTTTCACTACTTTACAAACAACCCAAATTGCAGAGGACTGGGGAATAGATGCTGCAGGTAATAAAAGGATTGTAATCTCCATCCATCTTCCTAATTTCAGTCTGTTCATTTATTCAACAAGTCTTTGTTGAATGAACATTTACTTTGCACATGGAACTGTCTTTAATGAACTACATAAGCCAGCCATTTTCTTTTTAAAAAAATATTTTTATTGATTTCAGAGAGGAACGGAGAGGGAGAGAGATGGAAACATTAATGATGAGAGAGAATCATTGATTGGCTGCCTCCTGCACACCCCACACTGGGGATCGAGCCTGCAACCCAGCCATGTGCCCTGACAGGGAATTGAACCGTGACCTCCTGGTTCATAGGTCGATGCTCAACCACTGAGCCATGCCAGCTGGACAAGCCAGCAATTTTCAACCAGTGTGCTGCAAGAATTTTTAAAACATGCAATACCTGACTATTTAGCCAGGGGCACTGACCTCTTTTCCCTTGGATTGTAAAGTAAAAAAAATGACAACAGCCAACACAATAGCTGTCTGATGTGAATGAATCAAAATTATACCACTTTTTTAATTTTTAATTTTTTTAAATTGATTTCAGAGAGAGAGATAAACACATCAATGATAAGAGAGAATCATTAACTGGCTGCCTCCTGCATACCCCCTGCCAGAAATGGAGCCCAAAACCCAAGTTTGTGCCCTGACCTGGAATCAAACTATGACCTCCTGGTTCTTAGGTCAATGCTCAATCACTAAGCCACACCTGGCCAGGCTATAACAATTTTTTTGGCAGAGTGGCAAAAAATATATTTTTTGGTGTGCTGAAGAATTTTAGTGATTACATTGTGTCACAAGATGAAAAAGGTTGAAAATCACTGATATAAGCTAATGTTATACTTTAAACCTAAAAGTGAATTAACACCAATAAATATTATTTTGTCTGTTTAATTTAGTAGGGAATTATGAACTTTTTTTGTTAATCCTTACCCAAGGATATTTTTTCAATTAATTTTTTAGAGAATGGAAAGGAGAGGGAGAGACAGAGAGAGAAATATGGATGTAAGAGAGACACATCAACTGGTTGCCAGTGATGGAGCTTACAACTAAGTTGATGTGCCCTTGTGTAGAATCGAACCCGCAACCCTTCAGTTGGCAGGCCGACATTCTAACCACTAGGGCTGTTTCATGTCTGCAGAGCTGCCAATGTGAGAAACACTGCCCCATGATGCTCTGGCCTGGGTGGCTGTATCCAGGGTCCAGTCTGTATGACTATCAGCTTACCTCTCTCCTCCAGCTTTGGGATAAAATACACAAAGCTCTTAAGCCCTTAGCCAGAGAGCAGATTCTGTCCCCACCACCAAACCCATACACACACTCCAGGTCACTCAATTCCAGGGAAGAGCAAGGATTTAGGGAGCAAACACGAGGCAAAAGTAGGTCACAGCAGGAGGATGGTAATCCCTGCTGTGGCTGGCCAGAGCAGTCAGCCCCTGCTATCAAGAGTGGCTCTGGGAAGACTTTTGGGGTCTGGAGCCCCAGCACCATCCCTTCTGACAGTAAGCCCAGACATTCTCAGCCCACGCGCTTGGGGACTGTTAACATTTCCTATGCTGGACTTAGAGATTCTATCTTTCATTCCACAGCTCCCACAAGTATATTCTTTACACCCAGCCCTAGATAGGGTAGTAGAGATACAAAGAGGACCCTTGGGGAGTACACAGACAGGAATTCTGACCCAGACCCAGACAGTAATAAGCTAGTGCTGTTATCAGTCCTGAGATAGACGAGAGCCCGCGAGCTACGTGGACCGGTAGGAGGCTGCTGATTCAGTTTGGAGTCAGGGTAGAAAGTATTTCCTGGAGGAGGTGATGCTGAACAAGAAAGAAATTCACCAGGAGAAAATGGGGAAGGGTTCAGAGAATAGATGTACACAGACCCAGAGGAATAAGTATGGTCTTTCCTTCTGGAAAATGCTGGTGGCCAAAGAGGGGCAGACCTGGGAGTGTTGTTTTTCTGAACTTTCTCCTTCAGGTGATAGAAGGTGGGTAGTGCCGGTGGGGAGAGAAGCGGGGATAAAAGCACAGGAGCAGAGAGAGGGCAGAGAGGGAGTTAATGGAAGCACCTGACCTAATCGGAATGGGAAGCATGGATTGAAACAGGACTCCTACATATGTGGGTGGAGGTCTCTGGAAGCACTTGTCACTCTGGAGCCTCTGCAAGGGTCCTCTCAGGCCTGATTCTGTCCTGAGGGCACAGCTCCCAGGACGGGCTTTAGTGTAAATCTGGCCTGCCTAGATATGGGTTCCCGCCCATCTCTCTCTCCCTCCCTCCCAACTGATTCTTTTTGGGCCCCTCTTGTGATGCCTTCTCCAAATCAGCCCCACCTCTCCTCCGCCACTTGTAAGCCTCCATCCTTACCTCCTATTGCCCCTATCATGCTCCTTCTCTGAAGCTTCCCCTGACCCCAGGGGCTGGATCGGTAGATCACTCCTCTCCTCTGTGCTGCTACAGAAGCGAGTTGGAGTAGACTGATAAACTGTGGGCAGAGCTGGCTTATGTAGGGCCTCGTAGACAATGAGAAGGAGCTTAACAGCAGAATCGTTTTTCAATATAGATAATGGAGAATAAAGCGGAGGGAGTGAGAGCAGAAGCCACTGAGGACGCCATGCCGTGCCCACTGTGGGGTGGTGGTTTGGAATAGGGTCCTGGTGCTGGTGGTAGGAGACTGAACAAAAGAGGATCTCACCCTCTCCGAGACCCCTCCTTCCCTCAGGAAGTGCCCATGCTGAATCTTGCTCTTCTCTCCTCCAGGATGAACAGGGGCACCTCACACCACACTCCCATTCCGTGCTTCCAGAATGCCTTCCGAAATTGTTTTGATTTCACGCTGTACACCTCTTCTCAAAGAACAAGCTTGTGGAGCGCAGAGGCCAGGGGAACCCTCATTGTGACTCCAGTTTCAGCAGCTCCAGGTCACCTTGGGGAATTGAATGTAAATTCCAACAGGGGCTCCCCACCTACTGAAACAGGCTCCCTTTAGATGGACAGGACCCCAGAGATGGACAGGACAGAGCACTTAGAGTTGTCTTAAAGGCTAAGGTGGCAGTTCAGCAGAGGAGGAGGTGAGATGGTCAGGAGTCTGGAGGCTAGAATGAACCTGGGGGGTGGGGGTGGCCATGGTGGGGAGTAGGGTGAGATACTACTCCACCACCTCACAGGGTCCCTGGGGGCCAGGTAGGGCTAGGAATACCAACCTGGGAGGACAGCCCACTAGAGGTCCTGGAACCTGCACGTAATGGAAAGCTCAGCACTGCCCCTGGGAAATGAGTGTTTGCAAGGAGAAAGATGGAGTCCCCTGTGGCAGCCTTGGGCCCTGCCCATTCTGTCTTGGGGATCAGCTTCTGGACGCCTCCATCTCAGTCAAGCAGTGAGCAGCCAGAAGAAAGAAAGGAGCTCAGTACAAATATAAATACCTTTAATGAAAGCTGAATGCACCTTACAGAGCTTCGAGGACAGCCACCAGAGCTGGGGTGGCAGCAGGGGCACTGCTACTTGACCCCAATGGCTAGGCCAGAGGCCCCAGGAGGCAAACAAATGCCAGAGCAGCCGCGAGCAGCAGGGGAGCAGGGGCTGGGGTTAGGGCAGGTGCTGTCCCCCTCAGTGTCTCCTGGTTGGTCTCGGGGACTGCACCATGCTCCCAGACGTGCACAGGGCTGCCACACAGAGTGTGCAAGTTATCTGGGTGCGGGGTCCGACGAGCTTCTTGCTGTAGTGACTCCCACACCGCAGCCGCCTCCTTCGGGCAACCCGACAGAACTTGAGAGGCGCAGGTGTGGAAGTCATTCCAAGACCTGTTCAGGGCATGGGATGAGGGGAGTTAGGTGGGAAAAGGAGGCTTTGGAATGGGAAGAGGTTCAGGCACGGAGAGTAGAGGGTCAGGCTGCTGTCCATGCACCTGCTCTTACCTGCAGATGGTCTCCAGCTCGCCTCCGTGACCCATGCCATCCCCCAAGCGGATGAGACACTTGGCAAAGCCCTGGTATATGTCACAGCGGCTTTGGCCCACGGCAGCTGCCTCCAGTGGAGATAAAAGGACTGGGGTTAGGGGTGGAAAATAGTTGATAGGATGAACTGGCCCACCTCCCAACTCCCAGGGGCTTATTTACTCTGGCAAGCTCTGGGGACATGACTCAGCGTGAAAGAGGTACCCCGGGGAAATGAGGGGCACATCTGGGATCACCTGCCTGGGCTCTATTCTAGGTGGGACTGAACAGACTCAATGTAGCGGAAGGCAGGGTAGTGTCCTCACATCCCAGGGGTCAGCTCTTCCTCTGAGCTTCTGGGGCTTCTGCAGCCCCAAGTCGGGTAAAGATGATCCGAATGAAGGAGCCAGGACAAGATAAAGGGGGACAGGGTCCAGGGCCACACTTCCCCTCCCCAGCACCATCCAGTCTCTCTGCAGTTTAGACAAACTTTGCTTGGCTTTCCCACCCCATCCAAAACAAGTATTTCAGACAAGTAGGGCAAGATAGAGGGTGTCAGGATCCAGGCCAGATTCTAACAGAACACCTCAGGGGGACCCCAAAGCTGGTCTGAGTCTCACCAAAGGCTATGTCTTCCCTTTATTAGAATGGGGGCTGTGAAATTTTGAGGTCCTTCCCCCACAACCAGGGCTCAGTTCACACCCCTCACTTTCAGTTCTAAAGACACCAGTACACATTATTCCCGCCATAGAGCCCTTGCACCTCCTTGCCACACTGGCTCCCAGCGCTCAGGAAGGCTGTGCCCCAGCTCCCACACACCCTACACCCAGCCTGATGAGGGTGTAAGGCCCAGGTCTAGTACGCCTGCACTCACCCAGTGGTGGTAACAGCAGCAGCAGCAGCAGCCCCACCGCACTGGGCAGTTGCTGGCAGTGGTGACAGCAGCAGCAGAGCATCATCCCCGGCTGGGAGCTAGTGCCAAACTAGCAGCTCCGCTAGGAGTACAGCCCTTCAGCCCAGCCTCCGGAAGGAGGGGCTGTGATTGGATGGGAGCTGGGGGCGGGGCTTCAAAGCCAGCAGGCAGCCCCACCACCAGTAGGCAAATCAGTAGGCAAGTTGACAAAGAGGGACCCTAGAGATAAGAGCCCAGGGGATCACTGCTGGCTAAGCTGAGCCCAGGGCCCGTGGCCCAGGGATGGAGAGGGGAGATGTAGGAAAGCCGATGAGGGTGGGTGGCCAGGCCCATGGAGTGGGTTGGCCTTGACAGAGCTCTACAAAAGGAGGAGAGGCCAGGGAATAGAGAGCAGTTATCAAAGTCACTCCAAAGACACACCAAAAGCACACATATTCCATTTTATTCAAAAAGCATTTAATTGAATTCCTTAATGTTTTTCAAAAACAAAAAGATCCAAAACAGAGGTAAAAAGGAACATGGAAAATTCAACTCAAGTGGTGTCACAATCTCAGGGAGTCATGCTCCAGGCATGGCAGAACCCAAGAAGGCACAATACCCACCCTGGGCCCAGCCTAAACCTGCTGGCTACCATAACCAGTAGACCACAGCCAGTGCTCACCCCTCAACCACCTCAGAGGTGCAGAGGTGGAAGCCTGAGCAGGTACAGAGCAGACATGACCCTGCTTTGGCCTAGGCCCGTCTACTGGCCTTCAGTGCCACCCCACCCCAGAGCACGGCAGGCTTAGCTAAGGGAGGCTGGGGGTCACAAGGCCATGCAACATGAGACTGAGACGCCGGGCCACTTTGCTGAGTGAGTTGTGTGGTTCGGCCTGCAGGAACTGGAAGAGCTTCTGGCGCACCTGGGCCATGACGGAGCCCATGTGGTCCCGAGTGACAGGGTCACTGTGGTCCAGATGCATCACAGCCTCTTCCAAGTAGCTAAGGACGGAGGAAAGGTACAGGCTACAGGTGGGCTCTGGCAGATGGGAGCGCCCCCTGGTGGCACTGAGGCCGACAGGGATGCCTAACAAAGGAACCCACCAGGCCCGAGATGGGTGGAGGCAAAGGGAACTGGTGGAGAGAATTAGGGAGGGAGTCAGGCTAGAGCTGGAGTCTCTGCTTTGAACTGTTCCCCCACCTCCACCTGAGCCCCTCTCCTGGTCCAACTGCGCCCACTCACCTTAGCTTGAGGTCAGTTCGAGTGCCAAGGTCAGAGGCCAGCTGCTGGATGAGGGAAAGGAGCACAGGCTGGGAGAGTGGGCAGGGTGGCTGCCCAAAAACCTGGCCCGGGTCCACAGTTTCACAAACATATAGCACCAGGTTCAGGTCAGCAGCTGTCAGGGCCTGGGTAGAGAATAGCATTTAGTGTGTGGCCCTTGTCAGGAGACACTTGAGCCTTAGCTGGGCCTAATGCCTGGCGTACCTGCTGGAAGGCCTGATTGAGGTGGCCCTGCTGCAGCAGCTGCAGGATATGGGCTTGCTGGGCCTGGCAGTCGAGGTGGGTAGTAGGGACAGGTGTGCCAGCAGCTGAGCGCATGGCCTGCATGATGCTAGAGGTGACGGCGGCCTGCTGCTCCTTGAGTGCCACACTCACCTCACCCTTAACAATGCGCTGTACCTGTGCTAAAATGGACTCCTGCAGGCTGCAAAGGGAAATGAGGGAGATGAAGTAGGGAGTCTGGTGTGGCCCTTTCCAAACGTACCACCTTGCCCAGGACCCTACCCACACACCTGCCCACAGCCACATGCAGCTGGTGCTGCACTTCAGCCCGAACACTGCTGGACACAGTGGCTGCCATCTGCTCAGTGGCGCCCTGCAGTGTGCTGACCAGGCCCCGCAGCTGAGCTAATACAGGTTCCCTCGCCTCCTGCTCTCGCACCTTCCGGCTCTTCATGTGGCTCTCTAGCTGTTGCAAGTCTGAAAGTTGACCATGGGGGCCATGAGAGTGATGGGGAAGAAGAGGATAGCCCCTCCTCCACCTTGGAGCATATGACTCCACTCACATTCCTGTGTGCCCAGTCGGAAACTATCATTGATCTGCTGGAACATAGCCTGGCAGCTCTTCTCAAAGGCAGGCAGCACCACACTCTGGAAGGCTTCACGGTAGGCGGCCTGCATGGGCCCCTGTAACGTGTCTGCAGCTGCTCGGGCGATGGCATCTGTCAAGTTCTGGAGGTAGAGGGAGGGGCCGGGTCGAGCCAAAAGCCTGAGCCCAAGCTGGCCTGACCAACCCCACCAACCACCAACCTCCTTCATCTTTGACCCTTTAGCACCTTGGACTTCAGCAGCTTGGAGATATTCTCTTTCATGCTACCCTCCACAGCTGTGAGCTTGGTGGCTACTGAGGTGTTCAGTTGGCCTGCCACAGGCTCCAGACTCCTAGAGACACCTGGGGCAGGGTGCGGAGGGAGAGGTGGAGCCACGAGAAGAAGCTTGACAGGTAGGGGCCCACTCCCATCCAGCCCATCCAGAAGTCTGCATGCAAAACTCACATGGAGGCACCGTCTTCTTGATCTCATCCCGTATGCTACGCTCTAGTCGCCCAGCCACAGCTGAAGACAGTGCCTGGGACAGCTGTTGTGTCAGCTGTTCCTGCAGCTGCCCCCCCCGTTGCTGCCCCTCGGCCAGTGCCCGCTCCAGCCGCCGCTCTGTACTGTAGTTAAGGAACAGGCCTGGAGCAAGTCCCATTTCCCTTCTAGGTCTAAGAATGCTGCAGCTGCCCCTATCCCTCTGCCATGCCAGGTCACTGCCCACAAGGATACGCTCCTGTTCATGCCGAGACTCGAGGGCACGTTCCACGTGGCCTGTGACGGTGCTCTGCAGGCCTTCGAGCTGGGTGCACAGACGCTGCAGCAGCTCTTCTTGGCTGTGCCGCAGCTCCGCCAGCTCTCTCTGCTGTTGCCAAATTAGTGCTGGCCAGTCCTCAGGGGGCTCTGCCACCTGCCAGTAGCACCAACAATCACATGCCTACCCCACCTGTCCCCACACACTAGACTAGGGAATGGCCCAGAGCTCTTCCCCACCCTGAGAGAGGAGTCCTAGAAGTAGAAAGGGTATTTGCTCACTCACCTGGTGCTCCGTGAGCCGGGATCCCACGGCTGAATCCCTGCCATAGGCGAGAAACACCTCAGGCCAAGTCATGCAGGCAGCCTACGGACCACCCCTCTCCCTGGTCCCAGGACCTCTCCTACCCATCATCCTTTTTGCCCTTCCTCTTGAGCTTGGGTGAGGTCCGAGGGGATCCCTTAGTCTTCCAGTCCTTGGCAGGCAGTCGTGGAGTGGGAACTTTGGTGCTAAAGCCCCCTGCAGCAGAGGCAAGGCTGGCCACCTCATCATCGTGGTCACTGTGAAAAGGGGAGAGAAAGGCCTAAGTGCCTACCACTTGCTGGCCCTCCCTTGTGAGAGAAAGGCTGTCGAGTGGCATCTACCTTTGTTCAGCGCTGGTGTCCTGGCTGTCATGTTGCTGCAGCAAGTGATAAGGTGGTCGGTGGAAGGCCAGGCTCTTATGCTTTTCCTGAAGGCCATTCCTAGGGCTGGGAGGACGGCTGACTCAGATGACCATCTGAAACCCTTAGCATCAGTATACTTTCCCCCTCCCAAGCTCCTCACCTTTCTGCGAGACTGCTACAGGTCTCCCGAGTAATGTCTGGTGCTGTTGGCCAGACCTGACTGTCAGGGGCTGTGGCCTCCTGGGTCAAGGCTGCCTCCAGAAGGGAAGGGGTACTATGCCGATCCCCATCCCCCGGGCCTCCATCCAGGCTAAGCTGGGGGCCCAGCTCAGGCCCTGGCCGGGGGCGTGGGGACAGCAGATGTAGTGCAGAGGCAGCTGAGGCCATACTATTTGGCTCAAGGTCCTCAGGAGCAGAGGAGCCAAAGCCACGGGACAGGGCCTCAGATGCGATCTCAGGGATGTCCTGGGACAGGGCAGTGGAAGCCGAGGAGATAACATCAGGAGAGCGGGTACGGCTGGGGGAAGCCTGGGGTAGCCCCAAGGGCTCTACTTCCTGCAGTTCCAGGGCGAGTGCAGAGGCAGCAGTAGGTACCTGAAGTGGGCCAAAATGGGGACTTAGAGGGAAGGAAATAGGGGTGGGGGAAACACAGAGACAAGGCACTGGTGTTTGCAGTGATGCGATGGGACAGTGGGGAAGGGGGATGCAGTAAAAGACAGCCACAGCTCTGGAGGAGAGGAGGTGGGAATGGATGGGCTGAGGAGCTGCCCTGTAGGGAACATGGGAGGCTGAGATGACCTCAAGGGAAATATGGGCCACTTGAAGCAGAACAGGACAAGGAGACAGGGTGCTATAGAAGACTGCTCCGACCTTCCTGATGTTATACACCCGCTAACCTGCATTTCACACTCACGCACCTGTCCAGGCCCTTTGGGAGTCAATTTGTCAGCTGGACCTGGGAGCAGGCTGGGCAGGAGGCTGCGTGGGCTTGTCTGCAGGCTGCTGCCGCCGCTGCTGCTCATTGTCAGACTGCCATCCAGCTGCAGCTTGGGGCTCAAGGTCAGCTCCTCAGGTGGCCTGATGGCGGGAAGGCTGAGGCATAAGCAGCCAGAGCTTGGCATCAGCTGGCACCAACCCTCGCCATCCCCCAACTCTGACCCTCACTTCACCTGGGCAAGGAGGGGTCCACAGCTGAGGTACTGCTCATGGCAGATACAGCTGTAAGAGAGGAGCTGCTGCTGCTGCTGCTGCTGCTACTGCTGCTATTACTAGGGGATGAAGCAATCTGGGGAGATGCAGAGAGTAAGAGCTGTGGCCTATGGGTAGGGATTCCCAGGTCCCCCTGCCCTAAGCCCTAAACCCCAAGCCCAGCCCCAGCACACCTGTTGCAAGGAGGTGCTAGGTGTCATGAAGGCGTCAGGTGTCATCAGCTTGGGCTTGGTCTCACTGCTCAGACTAAGGAAGTCAGCGGGTGCAGGTAGCTCCACAATGCGTCGGAGATCAGGCTGGGAGCCGTGAGTAGCTGAACTCAGGCCCTCGGTGCCCAGTTCGGGCCGAGATTCTCCAAATGCTGTGGGGAAATCTGCCATCTTAGTCAGATCTCAGACCCTGGCCAGTTTAACCTGCTTCCCTCTCACCCCTTACTCACCAAAATCCTCATGGGCAGTGTGGGTGGGGAGCGGGGCCACCACATCAGGGTTGAGCTGTGGCTGGAAGCGGATCTGCACATCTTGCAATGCCCTTCAGGAAGAGGAGAATAGGAGAGGGCTCAAAGGGGCCAGAGTCAGTAGG